TATTATTCATTCAAAATATTTTCCCGATTCTGATTGGCTAAAAGCACTCGTTTAATTCACCATAACCAGTTACTGATGACCAAATTTGGAAGAATTTTGTGTTTAACGAGGAAATGACGTCAAAAATGCAGAGTTTTCGCAGGTCAAGGCACCTTTCACCGAGAAGACCTGGGGACGAGGTTGAGTTGTTTTGATTGTGAACTTGAAAAATGGCGGACATTAAAAATGGTTTAAGTACAGAAACGGCCAAAAACAGCAATATCCTGGTGACATTATAGCCCCTTTAATAATCTTACAGTGGCCAATCTATTTTATCAACTTAGTCGATGAAAGCAAATTCAAGAATTTAAATTTGTAGAAAAAGTTTTACGTTGTAAATTGAAGAGCTTACCGTAGACGTCCTGTTCCTGTCCAAGAATGAACTTTCCGTTTCCTGGGATGGTCTGACCGATTTTGTAGTCAGTGAAGCACGTAAACACTTCTCCATTCACCAACGGACACAACTTTCCATTAGAGTTGGACCACGTGAAACACACGTGATGCCACCCGCCATCATGCAGTCCGGAGGATAAGTCAAGATACCTTAAAAATCAAGAAGTAAAAATAAGACAGCGATCACACTTAGTACCCGGGCAGGGTGCTCGTGTAAGGTTCTCTCTGAGCATCAATTTCAACTACACCTTTTATTAAAGCTATCCTGGGGGTACCTTTAAATGAAAGGTGTATCCAAAGATATTTACGAGGTCGAGACCTTGTATTCGGGTACTATTTGGTTATCAGATCCCTGTATACACTCGTTAGGGCCGTAGCTAGGTTTTTTTTGTCCCCCACCTTGTAGGGGGGGAGGGGGGGAGGGGGGTCTTGCGGTGCTCCGAAACGTTATTTTCAGCACTTGTCACGAGATGTGTCTCCGGAATATTGACCTCGAATATGAAAATGGCAAACAATTGCAAGTCACTATAATTAAAATAACTGAGGCTAAAGAAAACAAATCAGTCGTTTTCTGTTCGTGCCGAGGCAATCTACCGCTTCTCACACCCATTCATCATAATACACTTAACAACATTTATATCATACGAAAACCTGGGGTGCTTACCACTTAGACAAACCACCCGGGTGGAAATCCTGTGCATAAACATAAAACTATAAAATTTGAAGTGGTGGGAGAACAACCTGCTATAATGTACATCCAAATCAGCTGAAAAGAACAAAAAGGGTACAAAAATTGCATCCCCTCAAATCACAGCCCATGTGTTCTTGAAGCTCTCCTAAAACGGAATGACGAGAATCATTTGTTTTTCCAACCAAAATTTCCTGATTTCTCATGTAAATGGTACTGAGTACACCTGCACAGTAACTTTCAAGGAGTTATAATAACTCTTCAAGTGGGGCTAATTTAACTCCTTACAGTGGAGTTATTTTTCGGGGAGTTATTTTAACCCCAAAAAGGAGTTTAAAGAACTCTTTTTTAGGAGTAAAAGTGACCCCAGTTATTGAGGAGTTAAAATAACCCCACAAAAGGAGTTATCCTGTACCTAAAATTTTTACTCCACTTTCAAAGTTAAATTAACTCCAAAAAGAGTAAAAACAACTCATGTAAGGAGTAAAAGTAACCCCATTTCGGAGTTATTTTAACTCCAGAGTGGGAGTAAAAAGAACTCTTTTTCAGGAGTAAAAATGACCCCAAATTCGGAGTTAAATTGAGAGTTAAAATAACCCCCAAAAAGGGGTTATCCTGTACCTAAAATTTTTACTCCATTTTTGGAGTTATAATAACTCCCTAAAAATTACGGTGTGGGATACTTAACCATTTACATGGGAAAACCTGAAAATCCGGATAGAAAATCAAATGGTTTGCACCATTTCGTTTTACAAGCTTCAGAGAATATAGGCTGTGATTAGAGGTGATGCATTTTTCAACTCTCTTTAGTCTGTTCGGACGATTTGGAAGTACATTGTAGCGGGTCGTTCTCAACCACGTCAAATCTTATAGTTTTATGTTCATGCCCACGATTTCCACCCGGTTGGTTAGTGTAAATGATAAAAACCAGTGACTTCCGAGATACATAAACGAGATAAATCGACTTACTTAACATCATAAGCGTTGATGTTAAAGTAAAGGCGTGTTAGTGAATTATAGTTTGCATAATAACCCAACGCAATGGCTTCTGGCGAGGAGCTGGAGGCGTAGGAAAATATATAGTGTACTGACTGATGAGTCACTCTGATCCACACACAGGCAGTCAGCTGAGTCAGCGAAGGCATCTCATTGTAAACAGCATAATTAGCAGTAGATTTCGACGCAAAATTCAGATCATAGTCACTTTCCTGGGCTAAAAAAATCAGGGATATAAAATATTGTAATAAAATATGGCATTTCTAGTATATTATCCTCAACGATTACTCTAACTTCTGTTATCTATCATACCATAGAGCAAACAAGGCTACTTACAAGATACGTGCTACTACTTTCGAACACTAAAATGCATTAAGATAACCGAAATTTATTTATTGATTTAAATTTTATTTACTTTAATTGATTATCTCTCCCTCCGATCACATCTTCATTTTAAAAAAAGTCAATAAGAGAGTGTCATTCAAACGCCGACAAGGATCGGTGTCAGAGTCTAGTGAAAAAGAAAGGTAGAAAACAACACAACAAGGGACCCCAGCTCTAAGGCCCGGTTCAAACACCGTACTTTTCATGTACCGAACCAAATGCAGAAATTCTTATAACGTATTTTGTAAGCAGTTTGACCGAAATGCGCATTTTTCGCCTTCTGAATTTAGTCCGGCTGGAATTAAGATCGGCGTCTGAATCACTTTAG